AAACATGGTATTGAAAAATTAGAAAAGCGTTGGAACCATTGTATCACCCTAAAAGGTGATTATGTTGATGAATAAAAAAAAATTTTGCAAAAAAAATGTTGTTTTCATTGTTAGTCTCGGGACTTATTGATCCATGTGTTATATATTACAAGTGTTATGACACGAGGTATATATTTCATACAATGCATTTATTGCATTTAGTGCACTGAATTTAATCTGCGCACTTTATATGCTGTAGGTATAAATCCCGCTCGCTAAAAATGCCGTATATTCCAACCAGATGGGATATACAAGACAACAAATTAAACAAAGAATACGAAAGCAAAGCACTTGTATTTTATTACACAACATGCTATTCCACTACACGTATATATCATACGAAATAATCACTAAGCCTTTTGCACACCTTATAGTAATTATGTAGATTATAATTTATGATGGCGTTACTTATTACAATGACAAATCAATTTAACTTACAATAATTTCATTAATATTAACAGTAAGAAGCTGAAATCGCAATGCTAATATAACATAAAGGCTAATGTAACAGAATATTTGCGGGAAAATTACCCCCACTCTTTCTACTTTTTTTTTACTTCTGCGGCGTAAATCCTAGCGCATCGTATTTGTCGGAGTTACCCTATTGATAACAAAATTTAACAGAAGTGGACAAATGTTAACAAGTTTTTATCATTAAATAGTAAATCTATTTCAATATACTGATTGTACTGTCCAATTACAATTCAAAACAACGGAACAAGAAGATTAACGGAGATGAACACAAGATTCGAACTTGAAATCCTTCGTTTATTTTCCCAACACTCAAAAAGCTTTCTCACGACCAGTGGCGGATTTACATTTTTGTGTCCTAAGTTCTGTATTTCTTGGCGTCCCTTTCAAAATGAACAACCAAAAAAAGAGTTGGCTGCCATCGAAGGTACTACTTTTCTCCCAAGCGTAAGCGTTTGGCTATATTGGCGGAAATGCGACACCTGGCAACCCTGCACAAATATAAGATTAACTTTAATCTCGGTTACTAAAAAGATGACGCCCCTAGATGTCGGGACTCTATCTAAATCTGCTACTGCTCACAACTGCTCCTCACAATTATTCATAATTCTCATACGTATCTCACACAATAAACAGTTATCCATTAGTTAGCGCTCAGTTTTTTGTCAATTTTTATATTATATTACATTATATTTTTCATAAAAAATGTGTTTTAATATATTATAAATATTAAATTTATATTAAAATGTATTAATATATACTGCTCAACAAAAAAAATAGAAAACATTTTCAAAACATCCAAAATTGCATAATTTCAGGTCACCGAAAGTCAATAAACATCATTGCAGGTAAAAAGTAAAAGATCATATCAAATCTTAAACTTGTACTTTAACGGCTTTTAACCGTTTTTTTTTTTAAATTTTTATTTTTACAATTCTGTATCTTAACAATTAAAGATTACCTTATTATATTCTATAAAACTACATTCAAAAGTTTACAGCTTAATAAAAAAAATTTTTTTCATAAAAAATTTAATACTTTTACAAAAAATATAGTTTTACAAAATGCTTTTTTAAAAACTTTCTTGAATGATTTTTCTTAACCAAATTACGCGACTTTGAAGTTGAACCTACATTTCTTACAACTAATACATAAAAGGATGAATTATCGAAAAAGTAACTTGCACATACATATAGAAAGTACATAATGTCTTTCTACACATCTAAAGTCAAAAAATTCTTAAATTTCAAGGCATTATGTAGACAAACATGAAAGTAGTGCGTAAATGAAGCTCATAATAATTGTAAAAATTTGAGTAAGTTTTGTATAAAATTTCATCTCTATATATAATCTTACAATTTGTAACTTCTTTTGAATGTAATTAACATATACCAATATGGATCAATTGTATCAAAGAATACAATACTCTGGTGGAAAAATTTCGCTGAAATTATTCTACGTTTTCGAACACTTTTTAGAAAAATTTCAGCAAAAAATTTCAGAGAAATTTCAATAAAATTTCAAAGAAATTTCAGAGAAATGTCAATTCAATTTCAACGATTCTTCGATATTAGCTAAAAAATTCACTTTCATTGAAATTTTAACAAATTTTTCATCAATTTCGCTGAAATGTTCTAAAACGTGGAGTAATTTATTAATTTTAGTGAAATTTTATCACTAAGGTAAGCAATTATTATGATTAGCATACTGAGAGTAATTACTTTATGGTTTTATACCATATTTTCGTTATATAGTGCAATCTTACAAAAGTTTGATCTTTTTGAATTTTCGCATGAGAATAGTATCATTTGATTATATGAGATGTATATTTAACTTTGTATATGTCACATTCACAAAAATTCATTCATATTTATAAATTTTAATTTCGAAATTAAAAGATTATGAAATTTATATGTCGCGGTGGGATATATTGCCGAAAAAGTGGCTAAAAGTAAAAAATGTATACACAACAAGTAAGCGTTTAATGCCTATTAAGGTCGAAGGTGATTTTTAAATAATTTCTATGTAAAATTATATTCTTTATATACTAAGTATATAGTCATTTGACTGTGCACCGAAATGATTTTTCGGACTTATAAACGCAAACTGCTATAGTAATATCACAAATTAAATTGATAAGCAATTTAATAATTTGATGCTGCAATCTGGCATCCTATCAGAAAGATGTTAATGTACTGAAAAACTATAATAAAATTTGGCCTTGATCTTGATAAATATGTTATCCAGGACATGATCCTAAACATTCAAGAGGTTTTAGCCAGTTGAATATCTTATGTAATGCTAATGCTGGCGGTACTGTAACTTTCTAGCTTTATAAGTACTCGAAAAGTACTTAACGAAAATAAATTTATTACAGTGTTTTGAAAAGTTGTTGATAGCTATTAAATTCTGGCATAAAAATAGAGCAAAACACGGATTTTACACTTTAGTTACACTTTACTTCAGTTTAAAAACATGTTTAATAAAAAAAGACAGACTAAGAACATACTAAGAATTATAGCATGTTTGTCGAATAAATAGTTATTCAATAAATAAATGTTTTTAGTGCAATTACTATAAACGTGCTAATCGCTTTGTTAAATTATTTTCTAAATTTGATCAAAATTATCGAATAAATCAATCCTCAAATATTTTTTGAGTATCTATCATGGAACATTTCGATCAAAATTTATTCCGACTTGTTTCATGATAGGTGCTTAGGTACCCTATTTTGTAACTCGTTAAGACAGTAACGACATTCGTTGCACAGATATTTTATAATACAAAAGTTGCGCAACGATGTCGTTACTTTAAATTACAGGGTACCTGTAAGCCTATTCTGTAACTTTTAACGACATTTCGGTATCGTTATACGAGGTGTGTACAAAAAGTGCACTCGGTTCACCAAAAATCCAAATTAAATTATTCTGTAATAGGGATGTGGTCACCCTCGAAGTACTCTCCCCTTGACAGAATACACTTGGTCCAACGCTTCTCCCATTCCTGAAAGCAATGCTGCATGTCTCCCTTTGTCAGTTCCTTTAAGAGCTTCGTCATTTCTCATTTTATGATATCAGCCACAAAATGTTCACCCCGCATGATATTCTTTACTTTAGAGAACAAGTAAAAATCATAAGGTGCTAGATCAGGTGAATAGGGAGGTCTACGGTAGTGATATTGTTTTTAACCAAAAACTCGCGCGTAACGAACGCGGTATGCGAAAGTGCATTGTCCTGATGCAGAATCCATGCAAAGTCTTCTTTTAAAATTATCTGAACACTACCGTTACTTATTTCAAGTTTTTCTGCAATAATTCTAGTGGTAATTCGACAGTCTGTCTTCACCAAATCGTAAATACGTTGAATGTTCTCATAGTGATGTTGAAGGGAGCCCCGCTCGTACATCGTCATCGATGCTCTCCCTTCCCTCCTTGAATCGGTCCACCCATTTATACACAATTCTACGCTTCATAGCAGACTCACCATACACGATTTCTAACATTTGAAGAATTTCCTGGCCGTTTTTGCCAAGTTTTATGAGAAATTTGGTTGGTTCTTTGCTCGGTTAAAACGTTTCGCTCCATTCCGCCAACACGACCAAAAGTACGTTAATAAAAACAGACATGAAAAGCAGAAATCTCACTCAATCTAACTTTTACTAAGGACACGTGACGCTTCCCCCGAGACGTTGCACTACTGTAGAAACTTACAGCGTCACCACGTCGGCAGAATAAAATTCAATACACGAATTTTTTATACACACCTCGTACTGTCGTTGTACAGCTTTTTTATCATGTAAAGTACCTGCGCAACAATTCGACATCCCTAGCTAGTAAAATTACCGTTAAGAAGTTACAGAGGCATGTTCTGATTCCCACCAACAGCAGTATTCTGTAACTATCTTTACACGCCTACCGACAGTTGTCGATGTCGTTGCGCAGGTATTTTATACAGTGAAAAAGCTGCGCAACGACAATATCGATACATAACAATATCGACATTGTCGTTAAAAGTTACAAAATAGAGCTTCTGGATGCTCCTCGGATGTTATGTCATTCTTATTTAACAGTTCAGTAAACAAGGATGACATGACATCCGGGAGACACTCAGATCGGAATCCGAACATGCCCCTGAATAGGCTTACTGGTCTCTCGATCGCGATGATTATTGATTGTAATCTGTTATCTGTCTTACCGTGACTCGTGATAAAATTGGCGAGATAGAGATCTAGTTCCCGGACAGAAACGTTAATATGATAAGGATTGACGCAAAGTCCCGGCTGCGCGCATTCCGCAGTTTTTTCAAGCCGTTCCCCGTCCGTCGATTCCAATGGAATTGCCTTGAAAAGAATCACCATAACTAGGTCCAACCTCCATACCTATCACAGAGATGCGAGCATTTATAATAAGAGTTTGCATTGTAAAACTCTTACTGTTAAATATTAATGACTCTCTTTAATAAAAATTCATTTAATGAAATATAGATAAGGATGCGTAAAAGCGTACGTGGGTCATCAGACTTACCTTGTCCGCTTGACGAAGACAATCGATTCGACGCATTTTACCCTTTTGATCAGGATTGCTTAGAACGCACATCGCTGGCCTCTTTCCCGTAATACTCAATACAAAGTCCTCTCGATATTCTTGCGTGATATCCTTTCGTAATTTTCCTAGAAGCCGCGAGGCCCATTTCTGTTTTACTTCCAGCTTCTCGTTCTAAAAAAAAAGAAAAGACATCATAAATTACAAACCAAAATGACAATCATCCGAGTTGCATTATTGATTCATCGATTTCGTCTAACAAGTAATTATCACTCTTTCCTGAAAAAAAGAATACTTGCACGTATTCAATGTAGCTAGAGAACAATTTTATTAGTAGATAACACTACTTTACAAAAAAACATTTTTTTTAAATTACTCTACATCAGATAAGATGTTTCTTATAAACTTTCAGATGCTGAAAATGATACCACAAGCCAAATTTCACCAGCATGTGAGGTTTCCAAAATAATTGAAATTCAATGTGTCAATAATGGCTTTTTTGCGATACTTGATATTTTTTGTAAACATAAAAGATAAACGTTATCTCAAATTTTTTATCAGAAGTAATAATATATTCTTTATTCCCTATAAAATATATTTCCTTCAATTTTAATTTTTTATTTTTAGTCATATTATGAAAAATTAAAGTTTTTTTAAGATAGCAAATTTTTCGTATATGACAATAAAGTCAAATATATTTATAATTTTTAGTCTGTGGCTATTGATATACATATATATATATACACGGACCAAAATTTTTATTTAAAAACATTTTTGAAAGTACGTTTTTTTAAGACATTTAAGACGGACAATTAAAATGAATCATTCTGTGTGCGTGTATGTATACAAGGTGTTTCCTGTAACTTAATCATTTAAAATATCTCCGTTGAATTTGGTGATACAAAAAAATATCACAAGAGATCTTATTCGATTTGAAGAGGCACATATTATGATGAGCAAAAAATTGTTCTCAAGATCATTTTTCTGGGACTTTAAGGTCACTTCTACTTTTTTAAATAAAAATCACTTGGTTCACTACATCATATGTATATAAAAAACAAATAAATTTAAAGGAATTATCAATAACTTATGTACAAAAATGTCGTTTTTCAGTCTTAATAAGTTAAATAAATTCATTAGAACACATAAGGACAGACTTCCGGATTCATCTAAGAAAAACGAGATTTACCGCATGAATTTTAATGATTGTGAAGCGTCATATGTGGGCGCGTCAAACGGGTAAGAAACTACAAATCAGAATATCAGAATATCATAATCATATAAAAAGAAACATCATCACAGTCGGTTATATCAGAACATAGGATGCGTTACAATCGTGAATTTCAATGGAATAAGGTGGAACTATTGGACAAAATTTTTAATAACCGATTAATATCAGAAATGTTGCTCATCAAACAACAGCATAATAGTCTAAATTTACAGACAGACACGGAAAAGTTAGATTCTACATATTTTACGTTTTTCAATAACGATTAAATATTATGATTTTAACTTTATACCTTGACTTTAATGCGTGACATTTGTTCAAATTATAAACAAGTATTCATAGTCTTCACTTAAAAACCGTTGTGTCAAGACGTATACTTTACGTATATTCTCTAAATTTATCTTTATTTTATCAGTATAACTGTCTGCTACGAAAAAATTTTTATTATCTATGTAATTTTAATTACGTAATGGATTATGGAGCTTATGGTGAGTGTAGGAAAAATATCTTTTAAAAATAATTGTAATTGCCAATGTATTGTGTGTGTTTTCCAATTCGTATTTGGTTTCAGTTGTGATTCCAATAGTCTGTCATCTGTTGAGAAACTCCCACATTACATGATAAATTTGATTGCAAAATAAAAATTTATGATCTTACACTGGATAATTCATTCTGAAGAGTCAAAGAGAAGTCGAAACGTTAAAATTCTATTATATTATGGTTGCGCTCATCAAAATCACATCAAAGTTTATGGAATGAACTAAATAAAGATAAGATAATCATACTATTAACTGCTTTGACAGCCTTCATTACTTTTTATTATTTTAAATGGAATTATATAATTTTTGCATAATATGATATTTCTCTAATTATTCTGCATATAAAAGTATTAAGGTAGTGATATCAAAAAACCAATAGTTATAGTTCATGAGATATTTTATGCTTCATTCTATACGAGGGGGGACCCATAAGTTCCGGGAATTACGCTGTGGTGGGGAGGGAAAGTGGGGGAACCTATTGTTTGACCACATGTCCGTTAGTGTCACGCCACCTGCGTCAGTGTGCGAAGTTGTGTCGCTGTGAGTGCATCGGTTCGCCTGTGAGATTTTTTTTAGTAAAACAACTTTTTACATTTCGGCGAAAACTGGTTCTTCCATCATGACAACGCGCCGGCCCACACCGCCCTTTCCGTGAAGCAATTTTTGACCAAAAACGCCATGACACCAATTGTCCACCCCCCATACTCACCGGATCTAGCCCCCTGTGACTTCTTTTTGTTCCCCAAATTCAAAAGGAATATGAAAGGAAAGCGTTTTGCCACTGTGGAGGAGGTGAAACAAAAATCACTGGAAGGCTTAAAGGACATCCCGATGAGTGAATTTAAAAACTGTTTTGAACAATGGAAGAATCGTTTGGAGAAGTGCGTTGTGGTCAATAGCGAATACTTTGAAGGTGATTAAAATTTGGTGTTAAAATATTGAGAAATAAAGAAGTTATGACGAAATTCCCGTTTTTTTGGGTCCCCCCTCGTATATTATATATTAACATAAAATGTTAAATAACTCGTAAACTATTAATTTTTTAAATCTTACTTTAATACTTTTATGAACAGAATAATGAGATAAATCAAGTGATGAAAAAAAACACATAGTTGCTTATTTTTAAAAATTATCCATTATGTACATATTTTTTATATGTAAATTTTTTATGAACTCGTTCTGAAAAATTAAAAGATTTTTTATTTCTTATTAATAGAAAAAATATTAGAAATATAAGAAAGATATTAAAAAATCTAAAAAATTTGTTATAGTTTCTCATAGAATCCTCCTGAGAAATTATAAGATTTTTTGTTGTTGGAAAAAAAATATGAGAAAATATTAGAAAATCTGAAAAATTTCTCATAATTTAAAAAAATTACTTACAAATTGTTGTATAAAAAATTATGTAAAATTTTATGAGACATTATAAAAAAAATTTTGATCAGTATATAAACAAAAAGGGAAAGAAGTACATCAATACTTCTAAATGACGTAACAGATAATGTACAGTACATAATTCTGAAGTCCCAGGATCAAAATCCGATAATTAAAAAAAAATTAAAATGTGAGTTGCAATTAGTTGATAAAAATAATTTCAGGTTTAAGTAATCTTGATAATAAATTTTGAAAAATTTATATTTTTTTTAATTTTGTTTTAAATAAATTTTTAGGAATAATTACGAAAAAAATTATCAAGTGTGTGGGAAAATATGGAAAATAAAATATGAGAAATAATGAGAAAGCGATCATTCTAGGAGTAAATATAACATATCTGAAAAATTATGAAAATTTATAAAAAATTATGAGAAAAATTGTTATCGGGTATGTGGAAAAATATGAGAAATAAAATATTTTGTACGAAAAAATATGAATATGGTAAAACTGCATAACATCCTCACCGATTGCAATGATCTATGTTGTCAAGGTCATGACTTTGAATGACCTTCAACAAATCTTGACCGTCGCTCGTTACTCGTCAAAATTTATTAATAAAAAAAGTTTAAGATATACAAGTAATATCTCGTTTTTGCTATATACAATATTAAACACTACCCTAACTGATCTCTATACTAACTGGACATACCATAAGAAGAAAAAACTGTGACCAATGAAGATTATAGCCTTTGTCTACAATATGGCGTTCAAGTGTTTTTAAATGCATTTTGTTGCATTTTGTAACTTTAGTACATTCTGCAATTAAAAGGTTGCAACACTTTTTTTTTAATGAGTTTGGAATGCAGCTATAAATTCACTGAGCGATTGATTTTTATGGATCCATAAGTAACAACTTTTTAATTGCTGACTGTACGTTTTGCAAAAATAAAGTGTTATTAAATATTTTTATTAAGAAGAAGAGACGTTAAAATAATGCAAAAGTGCACATATTAAAAAAAAATATGAAAAGAAAGATGTCATAGTAAAAAAATTAACATTTCACAAGTAAGTAAAATAGTATGTTGCATTTGAGATTAACTTTTCAGTATGTTGTTTTAATGATGCTGATATTTTCGAACAAAGCAGGTTTAATCTAAGAACAATTAGTGACATGACATGCTTCATTTTAGCTTCTAATTGGACAGATAAAAGATGTGACGTCATTAATCGTTCTTGATTGCTGCTTAGTCTCAAAACATTATTGTTGTGAAGATCGTATAATATTGATAATTAAATTATTTTAATAAAAATAAAATTATACCAAGAGCACACTCATGTATAATCTGAGGAATCATAGTTAAAAATTTAAAAAAAGACAAGTAGCGAAAGTTAATGGATTAGTCGCAAAATTCGCCTAAGAGAGCCAAGACCGAACTGAAGTTTCAAAACTTGAATGTAAACTCCGAATGTCATTTATCTATGAACTCCGGGTCATATCATTTATCCTCATTCAACATTGAATAAGAATAAAATGATATTGGATTTGACAGTACCGAGTTTTGGAATGCAATCCTGCTTAGCAAAGGTCGTTTGAGCTTCCAAAAACGCACGAGTGAATATATTACAGGATGAGCTGTTCTGCGCTATTGACCATATCACCGAAGAAGCTGTGCCAGAAGCACCCTGCCTCCAGAGAAATGATTTAGCGATATCGATGACGTTGGAGTAGTGGATGGACTTGTTACGTTCAGCGGACTCTCACAACTTTTTTTTTCTCTTTTTTACAGAGTCCTGGAGTTGCCAACACATAAGACAATTAAAAAGTAATAAAAATCTTTCTCACAAAAAATTAAAAATCAAAGACTCCAGTATCTCTCCGTTAGCTAAGATAAAATAAGAATCAGTGGACGCGAGAAACTAATGCAGCGTCGATGACACTCTCCTTGGACACCGATATTAAGAAGACGATTAATATCAGTGAAAACGTGAGGCTGAAGCCTAAACATTTTCCTAACAGTGAAATCGCGGACGAT